ACCAAATTTTATACAAAGTTATACAGTTATACATATCAAATTTATAACTCCCTTTAAACATCTCAAGCGCCTAGTTACGTAAATAAATTTTATTCAGCGCTAACATTAATGATCTAATGATTGTCCCGCTACAACCAATTGGTTAATACTCCATAATTTTTATGGTTCTTTAAAAATCCGCCAATATGAAACGCATCCATACCATATTATCTCGAGTATAATAAATTTTTATGACGTATAACTTAATCTTTCTAGTTATTGGGTGTGAATCATCCATTAAACTATATATATATATTAATTGATTCCGGATATAGATATAATCCGATTATTAAGTCTAACGTTAATTTAGCACACCAATTAATTTAACGGTAAATAATTTAATTAATAATAAACATAATGGTACATTTTAGGAAAAGTCCCTCCTGTCACAAATTTTTTAAGAATGGAATAGATCGTTTTGTGTGTCACATTTCATTGTTATATTTGGCCCGAATGATGGAAAAAGAGTTCCGTTTGTCCGCACATTCATATTCGTTATTAATTTATTATTAGTATTATTATCAAGTACGTACGTACGTACGTGTATAATGGAAGATCAACAACAAACTCCGAATTTGATCGCTGAAGCATTTCGTAAGTTATCAAATTATTAGTAGATATATTTGTAAGTTGATCATAAATGCTAATGCGTACAATGCAAATGAAAACTTAGAGAATCTCCTAGAAAGTAATGTAAAAAAATATGAGTACTTATCATTTCAAGATATCCAACGTATCGGAGAAGGGGCGTACGCTACTGTATCCTCTGCTACTTTCAAACAAACAAAATACGCATTAAAAAAATTGAATACGAACCATAATTTAAATAATGAAATTCTCAAATTAGCAACCCGTGAGGTGACTTTTTGTTCTTTTGCATAATCTTGAACTTTCCAATATTTAAATTATTGATTTATTAAATTATATAGCTTCAAATTCTTCATAAAGTTGATCATCCAAACGTCATTAAATTTTATGGAATTTCTGAAGGTACTGAGAAGGACTCTATTAAAAAAACGAATAAATTTATATTTGAATAAATAATAAATTTAATATATTATAATTTAGATCCACAAACAAAGAATATCGTGATGGTGTTGCAACTAGCTGATGGCGGAAACCTGCGAGATTATTTAAGGAGCAAGTGGTCTGATGGAATTTTTTCAATTGCCTGGACTGAAATTATACGACTTGCAAAAGAAATAACCTTTGGTTTAAATCATTTGCATGTCAATAAAATCATTCATCGTGACTTAGTAAGCTATATAATCAATTGAAAGTATATTAATTTTAATTAAAGTTTTGATTATTTAATTTTAAAATCTTTATAGCATTCCAAAAATATTCTTATAAATAATGGTAGGGCTCTTATTGCCGACTTTGGTTTATCAAGGCAATTAAATGAAGATGGCTCCTTTACAAGTGAATTACCAGGCATGGTTGCATACATTGAGCCGCAATGTTTTATTAACGTAGAGACCAAACGTGATGAGAAATCCGACATATATAGCCTTGGCGTATTATTATGGGAACTTACAAGTGGGATTCACCCATTTTCAAAACTTGATCGTAATATAATTTCACATCATATTGCAACGGGCGTTCGAGAGGAGGTTATCCCAGGCACACCTCAAAAATATACAGACCTTTACGTGGAATGTTGGTCTACTGTTCCAACTGATCGTCCAGTTCTGGGTAAAATTGTTGATGATCTTATCAGGATGTCGGAAATGGAGGTTGAATCTGAATTTATTACCAACAAAATTTCGGATGATCCCACTCAAAATAATAATGGTTAGTATTTCTTTTATTATAAATATACTGTATTATTATTTGTGTTTGTAAATTCTGTATCGATTTATAATTTTAAATCTTATAGTTGACAATAAACCTACACTATTTATTGATACACCAATAATTGATTCATCAGTAATTATAACATCAAATACACCAACTACATCATCAATTACATCACTTGCCAATTTGCTCGATGAACTACAGTCTATTTTTTTAAGGTTAACTAACCTTGGAAATGAATTCCGACAAATTCGCAAAGCGATAATTGAATTGATTGAAAAACAGGAAAAATCTCAGGAAGATGTATTTAATGATCTTAAAAATAGAACTAATCATTCAAATGCACATTGTCTTCTTGGATTTTTTCATTTCACCGGAATTGGAACTGAAGAACGACCTGAAATTGCATTCGAAATATTTAACAAAGTAGCGAATGAAGATAATGCAATTGGAAAATTTTACCTTGGTGAATGTTTTAGATGTGCTTTTGGAACAAAAAAAGATCCAAAAAAGGCAATTGAATGGCATCAAAAAGCAAGTGATAAATGTGCAAGATCAACTAATGCATTAGGACTTTGTTATTTGAATGGAAAGGGTGTTAGAAAGGATAAACAAAAGGCATTTGAATATTTTAAAAATTCATACGATAAAGGGTGCATTTCCGCATGCAATAATTTAGGTAATTGTTATGAACTTGGAATAGTAGTAGAAAAAAGTAAAAACGAGGCATTCAAACATTATAAAACTGCAGCTGAAAATGATATTCCATTTGGACAATGCAATTATGCAAGGTGTTTTAAGAACGGGATAGGGACGGAAAAAAATTTAGATTCAGCAAGAGATTGGTATAAAAAAGCAGCAGATAACGGACATAAGGACGCTGAAAAACAATACAATCAATTATTAAAGAGTAAAGGGATTAACCTCGCAACAATTTTTAATAAGGTAATCAATTTATTGCCAAACATGTTTAAATAAGTTAATGATTTTTTACTGTAACATTTTGTTTAGGGAAAAGAAAATAATGATATACAGAGTAGTGATGGCAATAATTAGGCTAACTCAAAAAACTGTAATCAGAACAATTATACATTTAAAACCAATTTAACAATTTTTTAAACAATTCATTATTTCAAAATTTTAAAATTTTCTCATTCTTCGTAAATGCTAAATTATTATTTATATATTTTCTCATTCTTCGTAAATGTTAAATTATTATTTCATAAAAGCATAAAAAGTCTTACTTTTATATACTCTTCTAATTGTTATGTACAAGTAAATAAACATGCAATTATTTATGAGTTACAATTTTGTATTTATATGATTTAAGCCAGATATTTAATTATCCATCACCCTAATATAATTGTATTTAAAAAAATTGTTCTATCATTTGTTACCCGTTACGTTTTACGGCAACTCCGATACTTACAAATAGGTTAGTCATTGGGGTGCGCGATATACTATATAAATCAAAACTATATGTGGTATTATACAAAAACTTAATATCTAAAATTTTAT